CTGCTTAGCGGGGAGTCTGCTTCTCCCTCTCCCCCGCCTCTCAAATAAATAAATAAAATCTTAAAAATAAAATAAAATGTATGGAAACTTTAAAATGCCCTCCTTAATAACTAATGACTTAAAAAGGAAATAATCATGGGAATTATAAAATTTGGGGGGCTCAAAGATAATGTACTACATATCAAAACTTGTAGGATGCAGTTAAAAGGAGAGAGGTAAACTTGCAGCCTTAAAAACACAAGTAGGAAAAAACAGATTTAAAAAATTAAGCATTTAATTGAAGAAAGTAAAAGAACAATATAGTCAGCCTAAGCAAAGCAAAGAAAGTCAAAAGAAAAAAAATTAATGAAATAAAAAATAGTATCAAAGATCAACAAATCCAAATGCTCGTTCTTAAAAAAATAAATTAAAAACTAGTAAACAGACATCTAGCAAGATTGATCAAGAAAAAGAAAGTAAAATTAAAGACTATTCACTACTGAAGCCCCACAGCTTTAGAATTTATGCTCTTAACTAAGTTACACTGACTTTCAAAAGAAAATGCTAGGGACAACTTTAAATCATTAAATTTGATAATTAGGTTTAATGTGAAAATGATAAAAGTTTTCTGGGAAGAAATAAATGTCAAAATCAATTCAAGAAGATCTAGATAACCCATTATCATGAAAGAAATTGAACAATCAGAAATTCTCCTTTCCCTTTCTTTTCCCTACCAAAAGAAAGTTTACAGGAAAGTTTTACCATGCCTTCACAGGAATAGATTATTCCCTATGTTATATCTCCTATGTCAGAAAATTTAAAGAGAAAAAAAATGCTTTAGGCGACTCATTATATGAAACTGATAGCAAAACTGGATTAGGACAATGCCAAAAAATTTTTAAAGGGAAAATACAGTATTGTCAAAATGGATGAGACTATCTTAAACACAATGAATCAAATTTTGAAGTACTTGTGTATTAGTGTAATTTTCAACATTAAAGGATTAAAAGATTAAAGGAACAAAACCCTCCATTATTATTTCAGTAGATGACATTAAAACTTTTGATAATTTCATAATTAACCAAAAGTGGGGGAAAGGCCTTCTGGCAAGCTTGGAATAAAATGGATCTGGAATTTCTTTAACTGGATGAAGGGAATATTCTCAAAACCTAGAGTGAGCAGTCATATTTCATGATCAACTTTAGAAGACTTTCTATCAAAATCAGAAAAAAAAAAAGTATGCTCTCCCTGCTTCTATTAAGCAGAGTGCTAGAGGGCTTAGGCACTGGAATAACACAAGAAAAAGAAATTAAGAATTAAAAGCAGAGGGTGCCTGGGTGGCTCAGTTGGTTAAGTGACTGCCTTCGGCTCGGGGCATGATCCTGGAGTCCCGGGATCGAGTCCCGCATTGGGCTCCCTGCTCGGCGGGGAGTCTGCTTCTCCCTCTGACCCTCCTCCCTCTCGTGCTCTCTATCTCTCATTCTCTCTCTCTCAAATAAATAAATAAAATCTTAAAAAAAAAGAATTAAAAGCAGAGACAAAATTGGTAATGAGAATAAACCATTTGTGTTGTTATGCAGGAAATTCTTGTTTAAAAGAATGGCTCTGCTATTCCAACTCCAGAGTTTAATGCAACTTATGTTTTAAAAAAGGCTAAATTCAGTTGTAAATGATGGGGTCTCTCTCTTACTTAGCCTAGCTAACTAGTAATAACAAAAACAGTGTTTTCCATTTAGCAATTATGTTTACAGGTTGTACAATTAAACTGATGAGATTACTTTATCCAACCACCAGTAAATAGTTTTACAGATTATAAGGAGGTTTGTGAGGAAAAAAATGAAATAGTTTACTCCAACTTTTTTTTTTTTAACTCCAGCTAACTCTTAATTCTAATTATTCTTTCGTGCAGAGATAAAATGAAGTAAACATGCTATGAAATAGAAAATATGAATGGAAGGATTTTTGTGGGTGTGAAAAGATTCATTGAGCTTACAAGGGTTGCTTTAGTCTGACATTAAATCTGTTCACATTTTGGATCCTGTCCCAGAGCGCTAAAGTACACACTGCTTAGCCAAACTCAACCTTAGCTCTGAAAGCTAAGGTAATGTCGCAGACCCATGGTGTGTTCTAGTCTTAGTCATTGTTCACTGGTAACCTGGACAGAGTACATGGCATGTGGTGTTGTGTCACCCGCCCCCTGTCTGCCTCTCCTCCATCCTATTTTACACTCCGCTTTTCACATTTTATGGTTTGTTTATCTTTCTTCTTCTCCAAAGAAGCTGGAATATTCTTTTTTGCTGACTGAATTGAAAATTATTCAGTGAAAAGAAGACCGCAATGATTCAGGGTTGTTTCCATTTAGGAACAAAAATGAACATTTGGGTTAAATTGTCTTTGAGTTATTTTTCACATTGTTTACGTATTTTTAATGTTTTGGTTTGGTTCGTTTGAATATTTCATTGTTTAAAATATTGCTTTTGTGGAATTTGTAGTACTCATCCACCCTGTCTATCCTGGACCTATGATCTTTGACAGACTGTAGAGGCTAATATTTAAGAGAGGAGTTTCCTGGCCTATGTTATGAGATCGGCCATAATTTCTGCCTCATTTCAACTAGAGTGTGTCAACTTGATAGGATGCGACAGGTGGACATTCTGCTGACCAGCATCTGATAGGGGAAGGTGGAGGCCCATGATGGATGGCTGTGTCTGATGACAGAATAAGCAATTCCATGAAAATGAGTGTGCAGAATAAAATTGGGACCAGCAGATGGTGGAGCTATGCTGTATCTTATTTCTTCCTCAGCTATGAGATTTGCTGTGGCTGCCTTTTCACAGAAGCCAGCTGGGATTGTCTATTAACTGCCAGCACCCATTGGTTTGGGTAGAAGGGACTTGTTGCTTTCTTTAGAATTTGTTCAGCCTCTCATTTTCATGTATGGCTTTATGTTCATCTGGTGGTAAAACATGATATTTAAAAGCAGAATATATGAGAACTGACCTTTCCTTGGAGAACATCCCAACTAGATCCCATTTCCACAATATGATTATGCTTTGACATCTGGCTCTTTCCTGTTTCTTTTTGCTTTAATCCTCTGATATCTTAAATTTCTGTGATCTCTGCTGTTGTCACTTCAAATCTCATTACTGAAAGTTTGTTTCATTTTGTGAAGAGAAGAAACATTTCTCAGAAAACACCAACACAGAATATCGGGCTATAATATAAACTTAAATCTTACGAACTGCTCGTTTTAGCTTTCCTTTGTAATGTATTAAATTTACTGATCGGGAGTACCTTTAAGAAACATGTTTTGGTTTAATTTCTTAAACTTACCCGCTAGTTAAAATAGTTCTGCTAGAGATAGAGTAAAATTCATTATAACTAACGTTGCCTGAACTGGTGTAGAGATTCTTTAGCATTTGAGATGAAAGAAAGGCAGAAACTACAGATAGGTTCATGTGAGGGACAGAAGCCTGGGAGTGCATCTTGGAGTCGTGCTTGCTATCTATCCCTGGGGAGTCCAGCTTATGAAAGAAAAGAAGATTCACCTGACACATATGCTGCTTATTTTAGTGTTCTGTAGTTAGAGTCTTTCAGTAGCAGCTTGAATTTGATGGGGATTTAATGATGTGTGAACTGTTAAAAGTAAGAAAGTAAGTTTGTGGCTGAGAACAGAGATTTAAAAAGGGCAGGTAGTAAAATAAAAGGCAGAGCAGGAAAAATGTGGTCTGTATAGCTGTCTTTAAGGGACATCTTGTTGACATACGGACATCCAGGCATTAGACCTCTCTATTCCTGCATTTGAGGAGCGGGTGGGGGTGTGAAGCTTTCCTCAAAAAGCCATCTTAGTGCATCCTATCATGCTCACGTATCATGTGAAATTTTCACTACAGTATGAGTTAGGAAAGGAGTTTGAAAAGTACCCTGGCTGACTCTGGGAGTTTCTTCTTTAACTATCTAAACGAAGTAGGTCATCGGAAGCCATCTAGGAGCACAGTGAACCCCAGGACACAGGAGTTAATAAGACCTGCCCCAAAGGCAAGCATGGGTGATGCTGTAGTTGGAGAATGTCCTGTATTGCCAGAGCTGATTCAGGTTCTCTGGCTGGCTAGAAGAGTTTTGTTTCCTTTCTCATTGCTACATGTGCCTCCCTCTGTGTAGGAAGAATTGCAAGTATTAGAAATATAGTAAAAAAAAGAATATATGTATATTCTTGATGAACATATGAATATAAGTATATTCATTGGTTTGCCTGAGATGTTTAAGAAATGGCCACAGCTAAATCCAAGTCCTTCCCTAGGGTTTTCTGAGCTCTGTCATTTTCCTCCACCTTTTGGGTGCTTTTTGCTTTGACTTCATTCTCAGACAGGCTCTCCTTGCTAACAGATAACAAAGATGCTCAGCTTCCATCCCACCAGCTTAGAAACCTCAGCAAAAAGAATGCTTCTTTCTTCCAGTAGTTCCAACGAAAATCCCAAAGCTGACTTTTATTTGCCTAATTTATGTATATTCTTATCCCTGATCCAATCACTATTATGTACTGGTTAGGCCTGGGTCTTTTTTGCCCATCTCTGGGGACTGAGGGTGGGTCAGCCCCTCCTGAACCACAGAGGAGGGAAATGAGGATGCTGTCAACAGTAGAAGAGGAAGGGGATGCTAGACAGTGAGAAACAACAAAAAGTCCACTATATCTGTCCCCAAAGCTATTTATTTTTTTAAAAGATTTTATTTATTTGAGAAAGAGGGAGAAAGAGCATGAGCAGGGGGAGGGGCAGAGGAAGAAGCAGGCTCTCTGCTGAGCAGGGAGCCGGATGCGGGGCTCCATCCCAGGACCCTGAGATCATGACCTGGGCTGAAGGCAGACGCTTAACCGACTGAGCCACCCAGGTGCCCCATCCCCAAAGCTATTTAATGGGAGAGGACTTCCCTTCAGCCCAGAGCTCACTAGCACCTGGGTTCTTTAGATCAGACTTGTACTGTTGAGCCTAACCCCTCTCCCCATTGCCTCTGTTTTGCCACAGATACCTGTTTCCCAAGTTTACACTGTGCTGGACCGAGTTTGTAGACATGAAGATTCATGTGCCCTGTGAAACTGTTGAGTACATTGAAGCCAACTATGGTAAGAGCTGGAAGATTCCTGTGAAGACATGGGACTGGAAGCGCTCTCCCCCCAATGTGCGGCCCAATGGAATCTGGCCTATTTCTGAGTGGGATGAGGTTATCCAGTTATACTGAGACAGTAGGTTGAAATGGTAGAATCCCCCTTCTGAAACAAAGGTGGATAACTGTTTAAGAAGATAAATCTCTATTTGTCAAATGTAAGTAGGGGCCAAAGATATGTCAAGTGTGAAGATGCAGGAAGAGTCCTAACCTCTGAGCCATCTGATTTAATTCTCTCATTTTACTTTTATTAAGGAGTCCCCGTGTGCCAGGTACAGTGCTAGGTTAGAGTGGAGAAGCGGAGATGAGTGACACACATGCCTGTCTCTTCCCCTTCCCTTTGGTAAGCACCTCAGTTTTCCTTTGAGGGAAACACCCTTACCTTTGAAGCTCCTATAAAATATGATGTTCTTTCAGAATGTTAGATAATGGTTGGACTGGATGATGGGTTTATCGGGCAAAGCTAAGGAGGGATATACCAGTAAAAAAGAACAGCCCATTCCTGTAATCATCAGTTAAGCTTGTATGTTAGTCCTGCTTTTAAGTTTGTAGAGTTGGAGTTAATATTTAAGTGATCAGAGTTTAGGTGGCATCAAGAAAAGACACTAGCAGATTCATTTTACAAGCAACAGAATGAGCACTTCTTTCTAGCTTTGTCAAAGATATGCAAATTTCCGTATTTTCTATTTTTATATTCGAAGTGAAAAGGAAGCTTGTGCTTGTGTGATGCTTTAATTTCCAGCCATTGTGAGAATATTTTCACTGACCTCTGTAGCACTTGTTAACAAATCACTCAAGTGAGATCATGCTACCAGACGTGATTTTGAAAGGGTTGTGATTTCACAAAACTTACTTTCCTTGTTTCATTACCAACCATCTGTTAGGTAAAAATATGAGCTATTCATGGACTTTAATATTTTCTGAATTTTTAATCCTTGTACTTCCAATTTTAATGTTAACACTAAAATATTAATAGAAATACCTCTAATTTTTCTAAGTGTACTCTTCTGTGTATTCATTCATCAATTACAGCTCCATATCTTTATTTATGGCCTATAAACCAATTTAAATGGTATTTAAGCCTACTTGTCCCCTCTCCTCTATACTGTATTGCATGTCCAAAATGAAGATAAATGGCAAATCTGACAAATGCTGTCTCTGTCCTCCTACCCCCAGATCATGGTGTTTGTAAAATTTGTGTCCATTCTCATTGTTCTCTCTAAATGTTCTATCTGTTGCATATTGATGGGACGAGAACTCGGACTTCCCTGCTTTATCAAGTACCACCAATTTTAAAACCCTTCAGTTTCCTTTCCCCGCCTCAAGATATGTTTCTGAGTGGGTTGGGATGGCCCTGTCTCCCCCATCTCTTCATGAGTCACTTTAATGATATATTCCAAGTGAGAAGTAAAAGTATATGTAGGCACAATAAACACTGCTATCTTTTTCTTTGTCCAGGAAAGGAAGCCAAGTCTTACATTTCATCCAGCCTGCTTAGTACTACTTTCTCCACAAAATCCCAGACTTTCCTCTAAAACCAGAGGATAATAGCAGTGTCAGAATGGAAACCAGAGGGTCTGAGGGAATAGGCTGACTGAGTTTTCCTAAAACAAAGTTGGGAAAAGTGACCTGCAACCACCCAACTCTATATTTTCAGAACACCAAAGACTTTTTTTTGATAAATGATAACCATTGACCTTCCTCTCTTAGGATGAGCTTTCAATATGTACTCATTGGATCTTTTCATAACTAACATAATGAGGTTTTCAGGGACTCTTATAGATTACCAGTACACTTGTCCCCAGATGACCAGCCATTGTAATCAGATTCTCTTTGCTGGAGAATCAGCCCATAGAAATTACACCCGAATTCTAAACAGCTGAACCTAATTTCATTTTTCATGGTTGAAAAAATATCAGGATAATAATAGTGTTCCTTGGCAAAATCTACCCTGCTTAGTGAGGACCATTTGCTTGTGCTCAGCCTCTAGAAGTGTATGTAAAAGTACATACATATTTCTGCCCATTTCAAATTGGGGCTTCCACTGTTTGCCAGGGGGTCCTACCCACCCTTATTTAAGTTATTTTTCTTTTATCTATCCCTGGAGTCCAAGGTCTTGAAGAATCCAAAATCTAAGATGTCTTGGCCCCATTGACAGAGATTCTATACCCTTCCCTCCACAGCCCCCTGGCAGCTGAAATACCTTTCTTTACTACCTTCTGGTTTCACAGGCTTCTGCTCTTGCTTGGTGCCTACCCTAACTTGAGGGAATGAAAGCTTTTCCCCAGACTCTGAAGGCTGGGCTTGCTTCTGATACAGATTCAGCCATACTTCATTCTGTGCTTCTTGACAGTTATTAACTGTGCTCGGTGTCCACTGGATGTACCATCAAACCTCATCAGATCACTTTTCTTCCTTCACCTGAGTATTCCAACAACAATTCTCCTTGTATGGCCACATTCAGGTCCACTTTGTCTGGTTTACAGGAGAAAACCTCTTATATTAACTTGCAAGTTAGGCACCCATGGATATCTCCAGACAGATCCTGAGAGGCAAGATTGATAACCTCTCACTTGACAACCAGGTGGCCACTTGGTTCTTCTCTAAGCAGGGAGCACTTGGCCTTCTCCCCTCTGCTGCAGCTACTGACATCTGGCCCCTGGAATAAAACTGCAGTACAACCGCAGTTCCTAAAATCAAGCATCCCTAAGAAGCTGGGCAGTGGGATAGCCAGTTTCTTTGATTCCCTAGTTACAAACCTGAAATATGACCACTAGATGGCAGAATGTCTACCACCATCCTCCCGGAACAAGTTCATCTCAAGTGAAAATCATCTTGCTCTTGAGTCTTAAAAGCTATAGCGGTCACATTCATTCTATCCCTCTTATTTTATAGCTAAATCAATAAGAGATAGCAGTGATTTGAGAACCTCCTGAAGCTAAAACTCAAGAGTGCCATGACTTTTGGCCCAGTTCCGATATCATTGCATCACAGCACAGCATCTTTAACTCTGCTTGAGATGCTTGACAGAGAAGTCATCCTGTGCCTCAGGAGTCAGTTTCAGGGTGTTTCTGCCATTCCCCACTTAATATCTTTCTGCTAAGATTGAGAGCCTGAGGTGACAAAGAGATCAAGAAGGAGTATTTCTTTCTTGTCCAGAATACTTAGGCCGTCTTCATACCCTTATCTGCAAAATGCCATATCTCCAAAAGGTGAAATAGTTCATGGTTGGAGACATCAGCCTTTGATCATGATACTCTTAACATCCAGGAGTACCTGATTCTCGTAAGCTCAAGGTGTGTCCCATTGCTACTTCACCCCTTCCACTTCCCCAGGAAACCATTAGCTAAGCACTCATTTCCGAAGAATCCTTACCCCTTCCCTTGATACTCTCTGACGGATACAAGCAGTTGAGAATAAGTTGTACTCATCCCTTTTCTTCTTTGTGACCCCAAACCATTGTATCTAGTCTTAACATGGCTCCAAACTTCAGATGGCACATAGGACAACAAGGTGTTACATAAAAGAGCAGCAGTTTGTAGATTGGGGACCAGAGCTGCATCTGGGAAACACACTTGGAATGAATTCCCACACTCTAGCCTAACACCTCACCCAGTATCATAAGCCTAAGGCTGCAGATGTTTCTAAGTCTCCCCCAAGTTTCAACTTCTGGAAAATGAACAATTCTTTCATCCTTAATATTATAAATCCCCATGGGAAAATTTCCCTCAAAGACTAGTCAGAGAAAGTGCCACATTCCCGACTTCTAATATACAGTTATCCTGGAAAAACTCCAGTTCCTGATCAGACAAAAGGATATCTTTGAGGAAATGTCCCAGTAGCAATTTCTCTTTCCTCTTCCTCCTCTTCTCTCATTAAGACCTGGGCTAGGTCACCTCTGACATTTCACTTAGGGCAATCAACATGTTGGTATAAAAAGATCACAAACTTCTGGATTAGGCCTGAGTTTGCATCCCAGGTTCATCATGTGGGGTTTGTGATAGAGGACCTCTCAGCCTCAACTTCCACATGAGTGAATCGGGGAAATGTGTACTTCTCAGGGTTTTTAGTTAGGATAAAATGGAACATAAAGTGCTTAGCATCAGGCCTAGGATTAAGTAAATACTCAAGAAATGTTCCATTTCCTACTTCCAAGTCCCTTTTCTAATTATTTTTCAAATGGGATTTAAAAAACTACAGTTCAGAACATAAGCCTTACTCAGGAGGCTGGATGACTGAATTTGCTTAGGGGAAAAAAATTGTTTCATTGTATCAAGGCATTAAAGGACAAATTGTATGGTTCATGAATTCCGAGACATTACCGAGTTGCCTCCTTCTTTAAATAGAACTAGTATTTTCATTTTATTGGTCAAGCTATTGTCTCCTAAGCTCTCCTTATATGATCCCTTATGTTACATAGTTCCTTGGTCCCAAGCAATTCACTCTCTCTACCTTCCTAGATTTGGTACTTGTTCTGCCTTGGACTTCTTCAATATTCTAGCTTTTTCTAGAGGTAAACCCTTATCTCCTTGTTAGTAAATCTCTACCCAGCCGAAATCAGATATAAGTCATGATTTGCAGAGGGAAAGAACTTGGAATACTTAGTTTCATGTAACTATATGTGCTGATGAATGTTTATATCTGTGTTTTAGCAAAGGAGAATTGAAAATACTCATTTCCACCTTCTTCCATCAAATTTGTGTTTCTGTCTCACTTAGGCAAGAATCTACAGGGTATGTTTTAAGCTATTTTAAGCTTCTCTGCACAAACTCAAATCTAATTATAGTTTATAAGTCAAACAGACCAATTCAATAGTGATACCTTTTCACAGGACCAGTAGGCAAGTCTACATTTTTCTAATGAGGAATCTGTACTTCTGTATTCTCAGAACTTCTAGATTAGAATGCCCCTTTTGCCATCCCCCAACCCAACTCAATGTAGAGATGATGTAGGAACCCGTTAGCCAGCCAAGCTGCTATACAGTTATGAGCAGCTCTCACAGTGGGGTTGAAAAGGATTATGAGGAGAATTAGAAGTACTGTATTTTGTTTTATAAAACAATGTACTGTCTCATGCACCATTAAAAAAAATTAGAAGATTTTGTAGTCTTTTGATGACTCATTCAGAGCATGGGTTTGTTAAATGAAAATCATATATAGCTATTTGTGTGCCCCTTCTACTTCATAACCAGAAAAATATGTATGTGAATTTTTTAAACAAAATGATATTTTAAACATGGGTAAATTTCACTGTATGCTTACCAGTTGACTATTTGGTTTTATCTTCAGGTACATGTAGTTTGTGGTACTACTGGAAATACCTTTAATATTATTATTTTGATCAGAATTTGTAATATATGATCAGTTTGGGATGACAAATAAAAATTTTTTAATCACTTGAGATGTTTTGAGTTTATTCTTGAAGTTTGCAGTACATATTACAGCCACTAATATTCATAAGCAATCTGGTAAAATAATAAATCTTGCCACCAGTACAGTATTTCTAAAATTAAGGTAAAATGAAATCATATGGGTGGGCCCTAATCAGATATGACTGGGTCCTTATAAGAAGAGATTTAAGAATACAGACAGGCACAGAGGGAAGACTGATTAGGGAAAAGGTAGCCATCTACAAGTCAAGGAAAAAGGCCCTCAGAAGAAACCAGCCCTACCAACACCTTGATCTTGGAATTCTAGCCTATAGAACTGTGAGAAAATAAATGTGTTTTAAGCCACCCAGTCTGTGATACTTTTTTTTTTTTAAGATTTATTTATTTATTTGAGAGAGAGAGAGTACACTCACATGCAAGCAGGGGAGGGGCAGAGGGAGAGGAAGAGGGTCTCAAGCAGACCCCTGCTGAGCTCAGAGCCTGACACAGAGCTCCATCTCATGACCCTGAGATCATGACCTGAGCCAAAACCAAGAGTCAGACACTTAACTAACTGAGCCACCCAGGCGCCCCATCTGTGATACTTTATTAGGCAGCCCTTGATTAATGCAGTAATCAAGACAGGGTGGTATTGGTAAAGAAATAGACACATAGATCACTAGAGCAGAATAAAGAACCCAGAAATTGACACACAAATATGCTCAATGGATTTTTGATCAAAGAGCAAAAGCAATTCAGTAGAGGCTAGGATAGCCTTTTCAACAACAAAAATAACCTCAACTTGCACCTTGCACTTTATACAAAAATGAACCCAAAAGTATCCTGTACTTCAGTGTAAGACTATGAAACTTTTAGGGGGAAAAAATAGAAAATCTTCATGATCTAGAGCTCGGCAAAGAGTTCTTTCTTAAGACTTGATACCAACCAAAAGCGCGATCCAAAAAAGGGAAAATTGGTAAGCTGGACTTCACCAAAATTAAAAATGGCAAAAGCCTACAAGAAGAGGATGGAAAGTCAAGCCACAGACTAGGAGGAAACATTTGTAAGCTACATGGTTGACAAAAGAGTAGCATCTAGAATATATAAAGAACTTTACCTTCAACAGCTTAGAAAAATCCATTAGAAAATGGGCAAAAGACATAAACAGACATTTCACTGGAAAAGATCCTCAGGTGATAAGCATGCTAAAAAGCATTCAGGACTGTTAACCAAATAGCCAAAGCAATCCTGAGAAAAAAGAACAAAGCTGGAGGCATCACATTTGCTGATTTCAAACTATATTCTAGTGCTATACTAATTAAAACAGAGACCAATGGAACCGAGTTGAGAGCCTGGAAAATAAACCCATGCATATCCAGTCAACTAATATTTGATGAAGGAGCCAAGAATACTCAACAGAGGAAATACAGTCTCTAATAAATGGGGCTGGGAAAAATTTGGATATTCATATGGAAGAGAATAAAACTAGACTTCTGTCTTCCACCACTCACAAAAATGAACTCAAAATGGATTTTAAAACATAAATGTGAGACTTGAAGCCATAAAACTCCTAGAAGAAAATGGGGAAAAAGCTCCTTGACATTGCTCGTATCTCTGATTTTTTGGATATGACCAGAAGTACCAAAGGCAACAAAAGTGAACATAAACAAGTGGGACTACATCAAACTAAAAAGCTTCTGCACAACAAGGGAAACAACAAAATGAAAGGCAACCTATAGATCAGGAATAAATATTTGCAAACAATATATCTGATAGGGGGTTAATATCTAAAATATATAAGGAACTGCTACAACTCAATAGCAAAAAAACATAATCCAATTAAAAGTGGGCAAAGGAACTGAACAGACATTTTTCCAAAGGAGATAATTCATGTGGCCAACAGGTACATGAAAAGGTGCTCAACATCACTAATCATCAGGGAAATGCAAATCAAAACCTCACACCTGTTAAAATGGCTGTTATTAAAAAGATGAGCTAACAAGTGTTGATGAGAATGAGCAGAAAAGGGAAATCTTACTGCTGATGTGAATGTAAATTGGTGCAGCCACTAGGAAAACAGTGTGAATGTTCCTCAAAATATTAAAAATAGAGCTACCATATGATCCAGCAATTCCAGTTCTGGATATTTATCTGAAGGAAATGAAATCATTATCCCGAAGAGATTTCTGTACTCCCTGTACATTGCAGGTTTATTTACAATAGCCAAGATATGGAAACAACCTAAGTGTCCATCAACATATGAATGGATAAGAAGATGTGGTATATACAGAGAATGGAATATTAGCCACAAAAAAACAGGGAAATTCTGCCACTTGTGGCAATGTAAGTAGACCTTGAGGGCATTATATTAAGGGAAATGTTAGAGAAAGATAAATAACTATGAACTCATTTTATGTGTGGAATCTAGAAAAACCAAACTCAGAAACAGAGCAGATTGGTGGTTGCCAGAGGAGAGGGTAAGGACTGGGGGAATTGGGTAGGGGTGGTCAAAAGGTACAAACTTCTGGTTATGAGACAAATTTGGGGGATATAATGTACAGCATGATGAGTATAGTTGACAATACTCTATTGTATATTTGAAAGTTGCTAAGACCGTTTCATCACAAGAAAAAAATTTTTAGCTATGTGAGGTGATGGATGTTAACTAAACTTGTAGTGATCATTTTACAATACATACGTATATCAAATAATTATGTTGTACACTTTAAACTTGTACAGTGTTGTAGGTCAATTACATCTCTATAAAACTAGGGGAAATGTTGCCATTTTTCCTTGTCATAATTTCTTCCATGAACACCTCCTGAAGTATTACTGAGGCAAATACTAATAAATCAGTCCTTGCTCAGCTGATAATTAGAAAGCATTTTCTGTGTTGTCGCTGGTACAAGAAGTGACTGTGGGGCGCCTGGGTGGCTCAGTTGGTTGGGTGGCTGCCTTCGGCTCAGGTCATGATCCTGGAGTCCCTGGATCGAGTCCCGCATCGGGGGGGGGGGGGTTCCGGGCTCCCTGCTCAGCAGGGAGACTGCTTCTCCCTCTGACCCTCCCCCCTCTCATGTGCTCTCTCTCTCAAGTGAATAAAATCTTTAAAAAAAAAAAAAAAAAAGACTTCTGCAAGGCAATGAATATGTTAAAAAAAAAGAAGTGACTGTGGTCAGAGAGCTTCCAGGTAGTTCATCCTCTCCCTCAGCTCTGCTTCATCACACTTTGTGTTTGGAGCTCTTATTTTTACCTTTGCATGCAAACATTTTATCATATTCCTCTTCCAAAAATGTATCATTTTCCAGATATGTGAAAACGTCCATCTTTACTAAAAGTCACTACTACTTTTATTTCTAACCTAACTTTTTACCTTTACTGTTCTTCCCATAAAGAATGTTTCCCTAGGACCCTTCTCCCCCTGCAAAGCTATCTATAAACTGCTGAGCAAAGGTGCTAAATGTAACAGCATTTTCTGGAGGGAGTAAAAGTTATCATTGATAATAGAGAAGTAAAGGGAGAGAGCTATAATATTGATTATTAATATAACTTTTTAAAAAAGATGTTCAGCCTTGTTAATCATCGGGGAAATGCAAATTACAACCACGATGCGGTATCACTGCACACCTATTAGAATGGCTAAAATTTTAAATAGTGATAACATCAAATACTGTAGTTGTCTCTTTTATGGTTTTCTTTTTGCATGTGTACTGTGCACCATGGTTTGTACTATGATTTTATTAGTGCCCTTCAACATTTTACAAAAATTCATATAACACTCTTTATAAAAAATTTAAAGGAATAATCTTGCCACCATTTTTAGAAAACAGATTTTTAGGTTTTTGTTTTGTTTTTCTCCTTTCTTTCCTCCAATTCTTCATTGATTTGCTCTGTAAATTTAATAATCCTCTCTAAAACTTATTTTCTTATTCTTTTGTGTCCTTTTTAGTTAACTTTTCCCCCAATTTAATTTACCAGCAAAAGCTGTTTAGCGGCTGGTGTCATTATCCTTAGGCTTTTGTAAGTTTAATTAATTTCATATTTATCACCAGGTTTTTTTTCTCACCTAAAACTTTTAAATTCCATCTTTTTCTCTAGTTTCAGTAATTTGGAGAATATTTTCTAGTGAATATGGCAGGAAGGGTAGTTGGATGACTAATTTTCTGAATGTTTATCACCACCAAATGTCTTTCAGGTCACTTAGAAGAATGATAGTTGCAGTGTGTAAGAGTTTGTTTTGGAACCTAAACTGTGCAACCCTCTAATCCGACCAGATTCCATTTGTCTGACTTTACAGACAAAGGAAAAGCCTTTGCTTTTAGGAAGCTGTCCTCTCCTCATATCATGCCTGTTATATCTGTCTGCACAATCCAGTTCAGTAGTCACTAGCCACATGTGACTATTGAGCACTTGAAATGTGGCAAATGTAACCAAGGAACTGAATGTTTAATTTTAATTAATTAAATAGCATCATGTAGCTCGTAGCTAGCATTATTGGATAATGTACATCTAGAGAGTTTGATGGGACCAGCAAGGGCTTTGGAGTTGTACAAATTTGGACTCAACTCTAGGGGTGCCACTTCCTAGTTTTGTGATCTTGGGCTAGTTATTTAAGTTCTGAGTTCCAATTTTTTTCATCTAATGGGGCTAAAATTAATTTCTACCTATGAGGGTTATTATAAGAAATACAGGAAATCTACAGCATCTGGGACACTGTTTAGTACATAGTAGATGTTAAATAAATGATAGCTATTGTCAATATTTACTTGCTTTTATTTCTGCTTTTGGAATAAATCCTATGAACTTATATTTTCCTGATAAACCCAAGTAATAATTTTTCTGTAAGATTAGATATTTGAGTTCTCCTGGGTGTAGGGCCCTGTCCTGAGGTCTGGTGATAAGAAATGACCCTGGCCTCAAGGGCACAGGTGCATGCTGTCTTTTGGGGAGACAGGACATGGGATTAAAACAATACTTGACAGAATTGATTCTCAAACACCAAGCTTAGAAAAGGAGACCAAAAGTCCCAGACTGT